TGATATAACGCTTTTCACGTCTTCTCAAAGCTCAATTCACATAATAGACTGTAAAGTGTAGTGACTGTATATTTTGTGGGTGAAACACGGCAGCCAATTGCGCACAGCAGCATCCCACAAACAATCGTGAATTGAAATGACCAATTATTGTTTTTTGAGGGATTATTATTATCATGCGTGTGGAGTAAGGAAGCTTGCCCAAGGTTTCACGCTGCTGGATCTCTTGCTTACAAAGCGAGTGCTCTAACCACTGAGTTACAGGACTCCACGAGGTACACCAAAAAGTACATCAGTCAAGACAATGTCTTTCTAAGTGATTATAGATGCTTTTATCCAGACAATCACATGCTGTTTACTTGATGATATCAAACATTGTCATAGAACCCAAAACACAGACCTCAAAAGGAACTCTCACATTCCTTGAGATGAACCAAAATATCTATTGATTCGTTTATATAAACTGAGGTATTAAACAATGATTTTAGCAAGGAACTTACAGCCCCGCACTATTACTGCAACCTCCTAAATCCCTACTCTGCCCACACCACCATCAATGCATCTCCCCTCACTCTCTGGTTCTGCATTCCCGAGTCCCTTCACCTCATCTCCCTCAAAGTCCATCTCAAGACCTTCCTCTTTGACCGTGGTTCCATTTGATATAACAACAAGAAGATTGCATTTATAGAGCGCCTTTCACGTCGGGAGGACATCCCAAGGCGCTGGACAGTTGGGTCGAGACCCGAGCAGGGGGGAAATGGTCAGGGTGAGGGGAGGGAAGGGGAGCGAGGAAGGGGTAGGGAGTCGAGAGGGGAGCTGAAGGCACGGTTGAAGAGAATAATAATAATAGTTGCATTTGATATTGCGCCTTATCATGTCATTGAGACTTCTTAAAGCGTTTCACAGATTACAATGCAAAAGTAGATTTGTATAGCGCCTTTCACGTTAGGAGGATATACTGTAAAGTGTAATGACTGTGTATTTTGTGGGCTAAATGAGGCAACCAGTTGCACACAGAAGTATCGCACAAACAGTCGTGGATTGAGTGACTATTGTGTTGGAACATCACAGACCAATGTCTGGCTTGAACCCTGGTCTGACTGACCCAGAGCTGGAAGTGCAAATACCTGAGCCAAGATCACACACTGTCTCTTTGTTCAAACACAGACCTGGTTAAAGTGTAATCCACTGTGATGCTGAGTCAGGCTGTTTGTTCCCCTATCCTGTGCCAGAGGGTTCTTACCACACAGAGCTCTCGGGGAGTATATAACTCTGACTGTCAGACCCCTGACCAGCACTCGCTGACCACCACACGCACCATGAAGTTGCTCTCCCTGCTCTGTCTCTCCAGTATTTTCACTCTGGGGCTCGCCTTTCGGTAAGTTGCCTTTTGGAGTCCCGTGGCACAGTCGACAGAGCATCCTCCTCGCAAGTGAGAGGACCCGGGTTCAATTCCCGGGCAGGGCAAAGCTTCGTAAGTTTCCTTACTCCACATGCCTGTGTACCGAGCAGTAAGTAAGAACATGGTTGTTAGTCAATTGGTGGATTGTTTTCTTGGGGTAATAATCCCTTCAAAATAACAATAACTTAGTCACGCACTGTCCGGATCAGGTCACAAAGCTGCTTGGTTTCTGAGATGCCGTCTGTCCGCATAGTAGCTCCACAATCCCCATCCCCAACCACCAACCCCAAACTCCAATAATAATAATAATAATAATAATCCTTGCATTTGATATAGCGCTTTTCACGTCGGGAGGACGTCCCAAAGCGCTTCACAGAATGTACTGTAAAGTGAATTGACTGTATATTTGTGGGCGAACGCGGCAGCCAATTGCGCACAGCAATGTCCCACAAACAGTCGTAGATTGAAAATGACCAATTTTTATTATTGTTTTGGGTTTTGGAGGGATTATTATTAGGCTCTGTGTGGAGTAAGGAAACTTGCCCAAGGTTTCGCCCTCCCTGGAATTGAACTCAGGTCTCTCGCTTGCAAAGCGAGTGCTCTAACCACTGAGCTACAGGACTCCAACCCCCAACCCCAACCACCAACCCCAAACTCCAACCACCAACCCCAAACCCCAGCCTCAAACCCCAACCCCCAACTCCAAACCCCAACTCCAAACCCCAACCCCAGCCCCAAACCCCTGCCCCAAACCCCAGCCCCAATCTCCAACCCCAGCCGCAACACGCAACCGCAACCCCCAACCCCATCGTCCAAACCTCAGCACCAACCCCAACCACAACCATCAGCCTCAACTCCAACCCCAAAATCCCAGCCCCAAAACCCCAGCCCCAACTCCAACAACCAACCCCCAACCCAAACCCCCAACCTCAACCCACAACCCGAATCCCAACCCCAACCCACAACCCCAGCAACCAACCCCAACCCCCAACCCACAACCTGAATCCTAACTCACAACCCCAGCCCCCAACACAAGCCCCAATCCCAGCCCAACCCCAACCCCCTAACCCCAACCCCCAGCTCCAGCCCCCAATCCCCGTAGGCCTGACCCCAGCTCCAACCCCCAACCCCAAGCCCCAAACCCAACACCAGCCCCAACCCCAGCCCTAACTTCACTCCCAACCCCCAACCCCCGCCCCAAACCCAACACCAGCCCCAACCCCAGCCCTAACTTCACTCCCAACCCCCAACCCCCGCCCCAACCCCCAAAACCCAACCCCAGCTCCAAACCCAACCCCAGCCAACTCACAACTACTATCCCAACCCCAGTCCCAATCCCAAACCCCAGCCTCAACCCCCAACCCCAACCCCCAGCTCCAACTTAAACCCCCAACTCCCAACCCCAAACTTCAACCCCAACCTCCTGCCTCAGTGACTGTTATCTTTTCCTACAGGATTCATGGCTAAACCAGTCAGGAACCCGGGTGTCTTGTTTGACACTGAACTGTCCTTTCTCCCTCACATCCGCGCCATGACCGGCACTGCCTACCACCACCACCGCAACATTGCCAGACTCCGCCACTGCCTCACCCCTCAGGCTGCCCAAACCCTCACCTCAAGGCTCGATTACGGGAACTCCCTCCTCATTGGCCTTCCCAACTCTTCCCTTCACAAACTGTAGATCATCCCAAACTCTGCAGCTCGTGTACTCTCGTGCACCAGGGCTCCGCACCCCATCACTCCCGCCCTCGCCCGACTCCACTGGCTCCCCATCCCCCAGAGGATCGAGTTCAAGATCCTCGTCCTCACCTGTAAGGCCATCCATGGCCTCGCCCCCTCCTACCTCTCTGACCTGCTGACTCCCTACCAACCTGCCCACTCCCTCCATTCAGCGGGTTCCAGCCTGCTCCATGTCTCCCGCCCGACCCACCCTACCATCGGTGGCCGGGCTTTCAGCCTCTCTGCCCCCACACTCTGGAACTCCATCCCACGGTCCCTTCACCTCGCTTCCTCCCTTGCCTTCTTCAAGCCCGGTCTCAAGACCCTTCTCTTCGATTGTGCCTTCAGTTGCCCTCCCACATCTCTGCCTTCCCTCACCCCTACACCATCCCTCCCCCATACTCGGGTCCTGACCCGACTGTCCAGCGCCTTGGGACATCCTCCCGACGTGAAAGGCGCTCTATAAATATAGTTTTGTTGTTTTGTTACCTTTCTTAAAAATAGGAGTAACATCTGCCTTTCTCCAGTCCCCCGGCACCTCTCTAGTATTCAGTGAATTTTGAAAGATTTATGCCAGCGTTTCTGCAAGTTCCTCTCGTAGTTCCTTAAGGATCCTCGGATGCAATTTATCCAGCCCTGAGATTTATTTACCTTTAGCTTACATAGCTATTTGGAAACCTATGCTGGTAGTGATATGAATAGAGTCACAACTTTTCTCTATGACATCTCATTCTCTTTCCAGAACAGATAGGTTATCCGTCTCCTCCTTCATAAACACTGATGCAAAAAACTTATTTAGCACTTTTGCAGCCTTTGTCATGTTTTCTCCCAAATCCATCTTCAGTGGCCGTATTCCATTGCTTGCTTTTCTTTTACTCTTAATGTAACTAAAAAACGTTTTGTTATAATCCTTCACATCTCTTGCCATGTTCAATTCAAAATTTTCTTTGCCAATTTTTCCTTTATGATTGGCCCCGTCCAACCAGGCAGGGTTGCTTCACACCTTTGCTTCGTGCTCTCACATACAGTCTCTGTATTTCCCATACATACACTCTGTCTCTCACACACCCTCCCACATACTCCCCACCTCTCTCTCACACCCTCCTCTCTCAAACACATGCACCCTCTCTCTCTATCCCTCAAGCATGTACTCACACCTTTCCCTACACACACACACATTCTTCCAGTCATTCTTTTACATATTCTCTCTAAAAATCACTCTCTCACACACACACACACATCCTCTCTGACAGTCGCTCACTCTCACACACTCACTCCCTCAGTTACTCACTCACACACATACACTCTCTTATATACACACAATCTTACTCATTCACTCACACTCGCACACTCACATACACTCTCTCTCACACACACGTTCTCTCTCTCTCTCTCACACGCACTCACACACATTCTCTCTCACACTCACACAAACTCACACACACACAAACACACGCAGAGAAGGGACCACATTTCACTGTATCCTCAAGTTCTGGTTCCTCTGAAAGAGACTGGAGACTGTAATTTTCTGGACACAGAGATAAACAACAATCTCTTTGTAGCCAAACCGTGTGTACAAAAGCAGGTCTTTATACAAACCTTAAACATTGAACATCCCCATTCCCCCTCCCCCAAACCCAACCCTCCCTAAACCCTCCCAACCCCATCCACTGCGGCCAACACAACTCAGCATCTCACAAACTCATTGAAAGGCAGACACACTGGGCCCTCTTCACGTCATCCGCTCAGTGATAGGAGCAGTGACAGTCTGTACCCAGCCCAGGCCAGGCCAAAGCAGCCCAGGCCGGCCCAGCCCAGCTCAGGCTGGCCCACCCCAGGCTGACCCAGCCCAGCCCAACCCAGCCCAGCTCAGGCCAGGCCAGCCCAGCCCACCCCAGGCCAGGCCTTTCGTGGCTCACAGGTTTCAGCAAGTCACTGGCGCGGGCTCCTTCAGATCATCCACTGGTCTTGATCCTGATCAGCTCCCTCCATGTCCACCTGTAGATGACATCATCTTTGTCAGTCTCCCTGTGCTCTCACCCCAACACCCCCTGTGTCACACTGACACCTTCCCCCCTCTATGTCACATTGACACCTCCCCCTCTCCCTGTGGCACACCAACACCCCTCCCTCTGCCCCCCCATCCTCGCTCACACCTCGTTGATCTCCCCATCATCGGGTGACTCATTGTAGTCATTGATCTCGTCCATGTCCTGCATGTCCTCATCCTCTTCCGAGTCCTCGTCGCTGTCCTCGTCATCTTCATCATCCTCCTCTTCCTCATCATCATAGTTCTGCCACAGGGAGATCAGTAACAAACAGGTCACCATCAGCCCAGCTCTATCCCAGCCGACAGACCCTTCACTCGGTCCTGTCTATTTAGCTAATTATTGCTCCCTTCCTTGCCTCCTTCAAGGCACATCTCAAGCCCCTCCTCTTCAACCGTGCCTTCTATCCCTCCTATCCCCCACCCTGTCTGCCCCCCACACCTCTTGATCCCAACTGTCCAGCACCTTGGAGACCTCCTCCCAACATGAAAGGCGCTGTGTAAATGTCATGTTATTGTTATTTATTTTCTGTTGGGGGGATCAAGAACAAGGGGCATAATCTTAAAATTAGTGCTGGGCCATTTAGGAGTGAAATCAGGAGGCAGTTTTTCACCCAAAGGGTAGTGGGAATCTGGACCTCTCTCCCCCAAAAAGATTATGGCTGGATCCATTCACAATGTCCAGACTGAGGTGGATAGATGTTTGTTAGCTCAGGGTATCAAGGAAAACGGGGCAAGGGCAGA